CTCCCTATTTATTTCAGAACCCCCTTCCCCTTCCCCTTTTCTGATGAAGAGTCTAGGCCCGAAACGTCAGCCTCTCTGCTCCTATGATGCTGCTTGGCCTGCTGTGTTCATACAGCCCTGCATCTTGTTGTCTCGGATTCTCCAGCATCTGCAGTTCCTACTATCTCTTGTACCCAAATTGGTGTTTTCTGTAGTGAGACTAAATGTAATTCAGACTTCAATCAGGTTCCTTTCAAATTGCTAAGCTTTTCAACTAGAATGTAAAAGAAAACCTGCTCATCCTAGATTCTGATAGGCTAATCGCTTGACTTTTGTTTTGCTCTGTCCAGTCATTGAAACCCGAAAGTAAAAACAAAGTTACATTAGTACTCCAGGAGAGAGATTTTAAAATCGTGGTTCCAGAAAACTGACCTAGTAAATTTTTAAACTTCTTCACGAAAATAGACCAACACCCACATGCAACTAGTTCAAAATCCAAGCTCTAAGTATTTAAAAAAAAAGTATATAAATCAGATACCTTTTATCTCAAGTGGTAGAGCATTTAGTGACCAGAAACAATTAGCAATGGATCCAGTGGGAAGTGAAGAGAATGCAGCGAGTTATTGTGATCTGGAATGCACTTCCCAAAAAGATGATGGAAGCAGATTTGGCAGTAACTGATGGTTGGGAATTTGTGTATTTGAAATGGTTAACTTAGGCAAAGAGTGGGGAAATAGATTTTTTTCTAAGAAACAGCACAAATGACTTTCTATTCTATATGATTCTGTCTCTATGATTGTGATTTGCCAGTTTTCTTTTGCAATGCTTTGGTTTTCTGATTAATTTTATTAATATCGCCTTTATTCATACTATCCATTCATTTTTAAATTATTTGTGCAAACTCATAACATAAGTCCTCTACCATGACCAATGTTGAGTCAAATATTGGAAAAATCGAACATCATTGAGAAATTAAGGTGAAACAGATGGGGGTGGACTGATAAGAGATGTTCAAAAGTTACTTGATCATATGTTATGTTTCTACATTGGTTAAAGACTGGTTTGAGAAATAGTTAAGTATATTTCTGTTGTATTTGATGACTTTTCAATTACTTTAATTCTTGTATGAAAATATCTTGCTATTTTTCATGAAGAGTGCCCAAGTTATTATCACTTAGAGTTCTGAATCACACTAAAGTAATTGTATTATTTTGAGAGACTTCATATGAAATCTTTTGTTTTTCAGAATGACTGAAGTGATTGCATTGTTTTGGGATGCATTTTCTCATGTTCAGCTATAGGAAATTAAAAACCTGAATGTTGGTAAGTGATCTTAACTTCTTTGTTGTACTTGCAGTGGTGGTATTATTTATGTTATAAGGGTAGTTGTTTATGACAGCTTATAGAAATGCAGTTCTTCTGCAGAATTATCTGAGGGGAAAAAATCCATGTTCACAAAATCTGAATGCCTGATAAGTCAAATGTTGGAAAAATTCAAATTGCTTCAAGATATAGGAGAAAAATTTAAAAAAGACATGAGGCACAACTTTTTTACCTAGAGAGTAGTTAGTGTGTGAAGTGAACTGCCAGAGGAAGTGGTGGATGCAGGTACAATTACAGCATTTGAAAGACATTAGGATAAGTCCATGAATAGGAAAGGTTTGGAGGGATATGGGCCAAATGCAGGCAGGTGGGACTAGTTTAGTTTGGGAACATGGCCACGTGAAGCAGTTGGACCAAAGGGTTTGTTTCCATGTTGTACAACTCTATGACACAGAGATTTTAAGGAGCATCTTAAAAGAGGATTGAGAGTTGGAGAGGTTTGGGGAAGGAATTGCACGCATGGCTGCCAATGACAGAATGTTTAAAATTGTAGATGTATAAAAGACCAGGCTTGGGCTGTATTCCTCCATGAAAAGATTTGAAATCAAGGATGAAAGTTTTAATATTGAGGCATTTCTCAATCAGGCCAATGTAACTCCTCATTACAAGAGTGAAATGTGAATGATATTTGGTGAGAGTTAAGACACAAAATTATTTTTAAGGAAAGAGCAAAATGCTCTGTAGTGAAAAGAAGTTCTGCGACCCTTGTCATCTGCTTCTACAATTTCCTTCCATTGACTATCAGATTTCCAACCAAAAAGAAGTGTAGAATTTACCACCTTCACTTGGCTCATGTCTAGATCTTCCTGATTTGAGTTTATCATAAATTCTAAATGGGATGTTTTGCATTAGCTAACCTTAAATTTATGGATAACGGAAGATGATCATCTGGCGGAGAGCATTGGAATAGTTTTTCCAAAGAGAACAAAGGGTCATGGATGAAAGTTTCAGTTTAAAGGTGATGATAAAGGATCAAAATTGGATGATATGGATTTGAAACCAAGTGATCTTAGTAATATGGTGAAACCACAAAAGATGTGGTTCATTTCTGTCACCAAGGTTGTGAAAAATCCAGTTCAGCCTTAGCAAGTTGGCATAAGGAGGCATCAGGCTAAAATTGGGATTGTTGGCATTTGTTGTTTATGTATTACAGATGTCAGTTCTGGCAAAAAATTGCATCCAATGCGTGCAGTCATGTTTCTACCATGAATTTATGCCAGAGATTATCTTGGGGTAAAGGTCAAAAAAGAACTGCATCTGAAGCAAGCAGTAAACATTTGTACATGCCAATAGATTATTGTCTGTTTCTGATCCCTCTTCCAATTCTGGTTTAGCTTGAGGTAGTTAATTGGTTTTCCCACAGACAGTTTACAATATCCCATAATTTATAACAAGTCGTAAGCATTTATCCCGTTCATCACTACACTGGTCATGAAATCTTCAACTACATTCCTCATCCTGATCTCTAAGATCCACCCAGATTTCTCCCCCTTAGGTCCTGGCCATGACCCATTAGACTCCTCTCCACACCCCACCACCACTTCTGAGCTTCACAATCTTCCCACTTGATTCAGGCTAGGACTGAGTTATGTTGACATAGTGATTAAATTACTTGACAAATAATCCAGAGGTGTGGACAAATGACGTGATGACGTGAGTTCAGATTCCACAATAGTTGCTGGGGTTCACATTCCCTTGTTAATTATATCTGGAATAAAAATATCATTGTAGTAGTGGTGCTATTTGAACTGCCATTGTTTGTTGTAAATTTATTTGATTTACTCATGTCCTTTAGGGAAGGAAATCTGCTGTCTTTACCCAGCATGGCCTAGATGTGGCTCCAGGCCAAGAGCAACATGGCCAACTCCAACTTGTTGTCTGAAGTGGCATAGACACTCCATTAATGTCAGTTAGGGATGGGAAATAATTCCTAGTCTTCTCAGAGAAGCCCACATCTCATGAATTTAAACAAAATAATCCCAAAAAGACTAAAGTTTCTGCCATTACTCATGACGTATGTATCTTCTGACCTGCTTGTGGTCACTGAAGCATTCTGTTCCTCCTGCAGACCCTACAATCAATCCCAGATTTGGAACTTGGAGTACTGACCTGTGTAATGTCCTACCACAGCATACTTACAGTGCTTAGAATTTGGCATGCCCAAGTTTTTAGTTCATAGACTCAGATATACCATTAGGAGATAAATTAAAATGGTCATTCTAGCAAGGGTCCTAAGGACATGAAAGATGAAAATTGCATCGATTTTGTGGAGAGGAGGAAGTTACAGTTGTGTTTAGAACTCCAAAATAGCAATCACAGCAGGCACACACTTATGGGCAAATTGTGCCAGTTTCCATATTGGTTTGGCATTAGTCAGCAGTCAGTGAGTATCCACCAGAAGAATGGAGAAAAGGCAGAACATGAGGTCATATGTGTGCCATGTTGGAATTCCATTTTCCAGCTTATGTCTGCTCTTGACATGAGTTCAGAAACTTGGGACCCGTCATCAGTGTAACTTAAAGGGGTTATCAACTCGCATGTTTGTTTATTTTTGGCTTTTGTTTTGACTTGAAAATTGTTCAGTGTTTTCTGCATATGTTTCATGTTACATGAGTGTGCCGGGAGCAGGTTGGGAAGTGCTGAAGAACCTTTGTGATTACCTCAAGACTTCTGCACAAATCTATTGCTCCCTGACATGAATGCACAGGAATACATTCTGCTTTGAATCCAATATGGCTTGGGGAATGAACAGAGGCTACATAGAGCCAAACAAATTGCCAGAAGAGGGAGGAGGTGAGGAAGAAGGCCTCTCAAGAAGAGACCATAGACCTCAAGGATGTTCATGAAGCAAATCTCATACCTGAAACTCAAAAGAATTACGTGCAAGACTTTTGCACTTCAGTAGGGAGGCCAGCTGATATGGTCACAACTGCAACCTGAGAGGGTGGCTAGGACCCCCCTACTAGTGGCTGTAACATAATAATGTTAGTCCATCTGGTTCTTTTCAGGCTGGAGCTGGAGATATTTAGGTGAATTCAGTTTGCTAACAATTGATGCAAATGCAAGGTCACAAAAGGTTCTCTATTCATTGATAAATAATAAGTTTTCATTCATTCTGTTGCCGGAGAAGAGTTACTTAAACGAGCACGTGGTTTCTTGAGGGTTGCATGATTCCCTGTGGTGCAAGATATCCATGACTGTTCGTGCATCAAGTTCTGGGCATTGAATGTCAACCCTAACTGTCTTGCTGGAACTAAAAGGAATTCTGCTCCCTCAATATCCAGTTACTGTATAACCATAGGCAGAAAATCATTGCAACCTACTTGATTGGCACCCAGTTTATCACCTTCGAAGCTCAATCCCTCCAACACTGACACATAGGGCTTACCATCTACAAGCCTCCTCAGACAGCAACCTTTAAACATGCAATCCATACCACCTTGAAGGTTAAGGGCAGCAAATATATGGGAGCATAACCACGTTCCTGTTCCCTTCCAAGCTACACGCCATCCTGGTTTGGATCCATCTCACTGCTCTTTTGTTGTTGTGCGTCAGAATCCTGGACCTCCCTTCCTAGCAGCATTGTGAGTGCACAAGGGCTGCCACGTCCTCAAGACAATTAGGTTAGGCAATAAATGCTGAACTCGTCAGTGACACCCGCATTGCATGAAGGTACAGTAACATTTTGTTGTGTCTACCGATCACCATTGGTCACATCATGTGCTCATCTCCGTGATTAACAGCAGAAATGTGTGGTCTCACCTTTTGGTGTGCTGGCACTTGTACTACCCTTTCCTGGCTTCAGGCCACTTATGCCAGAGTCTCACCACAGATCCCAACTTGAAATTATATGCAGTATCGGTGTCTGACCTTGTGGGAATTGAGCGATGCTGCATTTTCTTTGCTGTTTTGCTAATACCTGACCAAGTTATACTTGTTTAGTATCTGAAAGGAGGAAAGCATGAGTAAGTCTTTGGCACAGGCAGGAGGGAAAATCAAGAGGTGATACTTGCACTATTTGTAGTCGGTACATTAGACATCAGTGTGCGATGAGGGTGTGATGGGAGAGAAAGAATTAGGTATGTGGATACTGTCTTTTTCAATGCTATGGCTGCATCACTTTTTTTTATTCATTCACGGGATGAGGGTGTTGCTGGCTTGGCACCATTTATTGCCCAAAGGGCAGTTCAGAGTCAACCACATTGCTGTGGGTCTGGAGTCACGTGTAGGCCAGACCAGGTAAAGGTGGCAGTTTCCTTCCCTAAAGGACATTTAGTGAACCAGATGGGTTTTTCCTGACAATTAACAATGGATTCATGGTTGTCATTAGATTCTTAATTCTAGGATTTTATTGAATTCAAATTCCACCATCTGCCATGGCGGTATTTGAATGTGATTTGGGTCTCTGGTCCAGCGGTAAAACCATTAGGCCATCACCACTGACCACAGTCTCAGTCTTAAATGTACCAAGAATGACCAGGACAGACTTGATTGTGTGGTTTGGAGCATGTAGTTGTGCCTGGCTCTCCAGTTCAGTATTGTTGCCTCCTGGTGCCTTGCAAGAGAGATTTTAAGTGTATATTTGAATGATGTGCTATTTCTTTGGGTAACCTGACAGTCATGGTTGAACAGTTAGTACATAGAAGTTGTGAGATGTAGGTAGTGAGACTTACAGCAGTGCTAAACTTGGATTGATTGGAGCATTGAATGTCAAGGATAAGACACCAAGTCATACAGATTGTTGGTACGTGAATGTTGGGTGTGTTGTGATTTTTCATATTTATCTGAGGCGAGTGGTGTAGCTCATAGGATGTGGCATTTGAAGATGACCTTCACCACTTGTGCGAGATCATTTAATGTTTTACGGCACTTCACATTGGTTCTTGATCTTGATTGCCGGTATTGTTTGCCATGGTTGTCCCTGCCTTACGAGCATGCTT